GAGAGAGAGAGAGAGAGAGAGAGAGAGAGAGAGAGAGAGAGAGAGAGATGAGAAAGCCACAGAGGATCAGACTAGTGGGCTGAAAGAAAGACAGAGGAAGAGAGGTGTGACTAAGAAGAAGAGGAGTGGGAGAATGAAATGAAAAGATAGAGGGGGTTGATGGATGGGAGAGGAGGAGAGTAGAAACAGCTGCGAGCTCCACTCGTCTACTGCATTCATCATACCTTTCAGTTAGACAACAAGCGGGCGGAAAGGCAGACAGACAGAAAACCAAAACAACTCTAATACCAGCAGCCTCTTGTTGCTGTCAAAGCTAATGTTTTTGCAAAGGGCTTTCCACTGGTGAACGGTTGTGTAAGGACTGATTCTATCGGCTGCTTTATTTCTGGGTTTATTGCTCGCTCTGTCCACCTACACGTGATGACTAGCCATTGCGCCTTCGGATAAATAAAAGGTTCTTAAAGCTACTTGCTTAATAGTTCAGCCATTTTTACGTCAAAACCAAATTCATGGTATGCTCTCAATGTAAAACCTTGGGACTGCACACAGGTCAAACACGCCTTTGGGATCTAGCGAGTCACTGTGCATCAGCTAACACTTCATGGCAGACAAATTGGAGGCACCGACTTTTAAAAATCTTTTAGCATCCTGCCAGAAAGTGAAAGAATCACGGAGAGGGCAGAGAAAAGTGAAAATTAAACTTTATATGGTAACAAATGAATGTAACTCCATGTGATTCTCAGGTTTATCAGTGAAATGTATGACACTGAAGACTGGATTCTCTCCTACAGTACCAGTGTGAAGCAGGATTAGAGCTTAATGATATGAATGGATCCAAAGCAAAGGGTTAAATGTGTGTGTTCAGTCAAAACTGTTTCTCAAAAATGGCGTGTATTACTAAGCTGCAACCTCATTTACATTTCTGAAAAAATGTAAATTCTTTGTGAAGCACATGTATTTTGTCACCTAAATACAAGACTGTGATGTAATAGGAAAGTCTTCCACTTTGAAAGAGCCACACTGTCCACGTGAAGAGGCAGGAGGGATGGAGGCAGGAATCAGCAACTGCCGTTTTTACAACATGTTTGAAGCTTCTCCCACATTTTATGGGTTACCAGAGTGAAAGGTCCTGCCCTATCTCACACATGATTAGTTTGCTAAAAAAGGACAAACAGCAAAGCAATACAATAAATGGCAAAGATATGTTATAAGGAACCCTTTTGTGATCTGTCACAAACGTGTGATCTGTGAGAAAACAGGTTACCCTCAAAATGTAATTGACAATCCAGTTTAGTTGTATATGAATGTAACTTGAGAGAAACATGTGGCTATTGCATCCAAGTGGTAATATCCTGTGTTGTCTCCAGTAGCAACAGTCATCAGATAATGTCACACAGCAGAACATTCTTTTTGAGCCTTATGAAGGACCTTGGAGAGAGATGTGACGTGAGTAAGGCAAAATAGCAAAAACTTAAAACCCTAATTAATGTCAATAAAGCCACTGAGAGCAACTGACAGTGTCAACTCAGAGGGCTCCTGCAATAAAGAAACAAATGAGTTAAAAAAAAAAAAAAAATAGTTGCCACATTGCAACCCCACTGGTAAAGTGCAGTGTTATCCAGTGCAATACATTTGAGGGCATATTTTTATGGTAGGGCTGCAGGGTGGCGTAGTTGGTAGCACTGTTGCCTCGCAGCAAGAAGGTTGCCGGTTCGCGTCCCGGTGGGGGCACCGGAATCTTTCTGTGTGGAGTTTGTGTGTTCTCCCCGTGCTGCGTGGGTTCTCCGGCTTCCTCCCACACAGTCCAAAAACATTTTGAGGTTAATTGGTGATTCTAAATTGTCCGTAGGTGTGAATGTGAGTGTGCTTGGTTGTCTGTGTGTAAGTGTGGCCCTGCGATAGACTGGCGACCTGTCCAGGGTGTCCCCTGCCTTCGCCCTAAGTCAGCTGGGATGGGCTCCAGCCCCCCCGTGACCCTAATGAGGATTAAGCGNGGCTTCCTCCCACACAGTCCAAAAACATGTTGAGGTTAATTGGTGATTCTAAATTGTCCGTAGGTGTGAATGTGAGTGTGCTTGGTTGTCTGTCTCTATGTGTGGCCCTGCGATAGACTGGTGACCTGTCCAGGGTGTCCCCTGCCTTCGCCCTAAGTCAGCTGGGATAGGCTCCAGCCCCCCCGTGACCCTAATGAGGATTAAGCGGTGTATAGATAATGGATGGATGGATTTTTATGGTAGATTATCTGATAAGGTAATACTTCTACTTAAACTTCTACTTAAACCAGCCTTCCTGGACTGTAGCACATCCTCCCACCAGTACCTGAAGCAAGACACACATTGTTAAGGTCCTGGACCTTTGCAATCCTTTTCCTCTTTGGTCTGAATAACTTTGTCCTGATTTCATAAATTAATTTAATGCAAATGAATTTGTACAAGCCCCAGACTGGTGCCTGCATTTGGATCCCACCCGGCCTCTAGTTTTGACTGCTCCTCCTCTGTCCTGCCTCCTGCCTGGACTGATTGGACCGGTACACCAGCGCTGCACTGTGCTACGCTCCAGCTGGGCCTGTCATCACTGCACCTGCTTAAAAGCTCAGCCAACTGTCACACAGGGTAGCTGTGATTTAGAGTGAGCAGCTCATAATGGGGGCTTGTCTGGGATATCCCTCCCCCCTCAAACAAAAAGTTTTGTATACACACTGAATACTACAGCCATACTTAAGATGTGACCATGGCAAATGCATTTTGAGTGGAACATAATTTCATTTTGAAATAAACATAATTTATGATCTGTGATGGGGTGGGAAAAGTGGGCAGTTTTTAAAAAAATGACAAAGTCTGCATTAGGACATTTTTTGCCATCGCTTGCTTTGAGTTTTTATTCACTTTCTGGTTAGGTTTTGGAACATTTCAAGTTTTGTTAGACACTTGTACATGTGAGAAGCTTGGTTTATGGATGGGCACCAAACTTAAGAGTTAGAGTCAGTAAAAATGTCATAGTCGGGTTAATAGGACTGTTTCACGATATATGTGAACCTTCTATGTGATGATTGGATATTACTCAGTGTCCTACAAAAGAGAAACCAAAGACAATCTTTTGTTCGTACCTCCTTCTAAGTGCATTTTTTGGATTTGGTTGTTCAGTTGTTTTTTTTTTTTTTACATAGTCCTATCTGCACTATTTAAGGATGCACAGAAGCTGTGTTCATGACCAAGTTTTTGGAAATGAAAAAAGCTGTAACGCTACAAATGGAGCTTTATGCTAGGCTGGAACTGCTGTAAAATACTAAATGTAATTTTTAGAAAGCCTGTAGGTCTCAATAAGCCCTGTCTGGCCTTGTCACACCAATGCAAACATGAAGCCTTGGATGTCTCAGAAACTTCCACAATGTTAGCAGGGGGCAAACTAGAAGTTATCCGTTATAAAATTTTTACTACAACCCAGTCTGAAATGACACATTACTGTCAAAGTGTCCCTGAACAACAAGCGGCGAGTATATTTCCCAAAAACACCAGTTGGAAAACAGACACAGCTGGCATTTATTTGCCCTTGCATTTAAAAATTATTCAGAGATGACACAGCACACAAGGAAAGCGTGTGAGATGCAGTGCAGAGGCAAATGACTTGTATTATTGAGGTCTATAACTTTTCTCCAATAAGTAAAGGAGAATGTTGAAGGCGCATATATCAGGTGGTCTCGTCACATAAAAACAAACCTAACCTAATTTTTATCTGTTCCACTTTTTTTGGCGCATTTCCAGCACACATTAAAAGGCACGTACTTTACATATAAAGAAGAGCTTATACCACCCAGAGCTCAAATGCACATCACCCATTCTAATCCCCTTTCCTAATTTCCTGAATATAAAGTTGATCCTCCCTACAGATGTGAAATCTGGCCCGCACTAGTGGTGTTAACACCGTCTCTCTCTTTCTGCTAGAAACTGCTGAGTACAGACTCTGGAGGATGATGAAGACATATGGATGGAAAGATAAGTGCAATGGACAGACAGATAGATAAGTGACTGGTCAGTGATAAGAGAGATAAGAAAATATTTCACCTTTTGTTATGTTTTAATTACAAAAGAGGAGGAACTAAGACAGATTTCTTACCTTGACATCTTCCGGACAGTCATTGGAGCAGAGGCCGCTGAGCACTGAAGAAGACAGAAACGGCCAGAATTAGACATGTTACTCAGCATGTGTTACACGCCCTGTACAATAACACATCCAGCAGTGGAACAACCATCAAGTGGGTTGAACTCAGAGAAATTAACTTTGCTTACACATTGAAAAAGGCTCCACAGGGGCAGAAACAACAACTTAAGACAACAGGAACTAATTAACTTCAAGTGTGCTTTAGCATTCACAGATTTACAGGTGTCTTCAAAATCAGTGTTTTTAAAAACGTGAGTAAAGCTCAAAATCCTTATAATATTTTTATTTCCATTCATTGGGAACACGGCACATTATATTTTACATCAAAACATGAAGAAAAATGTGTCAATATTTTAATTACAGAAAATTAAGGAAAAATGATATTGGGCTGTTCAAAGAAATAGCAGTGTCTGCATTTTTCATTACAAACTCAAATATTTACTCAATAAACTGAAAAAAATGTTAACATTTCGCATTCCTGTTAATCACTAAACTAATATTTAGTTGTATAACCACTGTTTTTGAGAACTGCTTGACATCTGTGCTGCATGGAGTCGACCAACTTCTGGCACTTGTAAACACGTATTCCAGCCCAGGATGATTTGACAACCTTCCACAGTTCCTCTGCATTTCTTGGTTTTGCCTCAGACATAGCATTTTTGATGTAACCCCGCAAGTTTTCTATTGGATAAACATCCAGGGATTGGGCTGGCCACTCCATAACCTTAATTTTGTTGGTCTGGAACCAGATGCTGCTCGCTTACTGGTGTGTTTGGGGTCGTTGTCTTGTTGAAACACCCATTTCAAGGGCATTTCCTCTTCAGCATAAGGTAGCGTGACCTCTTCAAATATTTTGATATAAGTAAATTGATCCATGATCCCTGGTATGCGATAAATAGGCCTGACACTATAGTAACAGAAGCAGCCCCATATGATACTTCCGCCACCATGCTTCACTGTCTTCACAGTGTACTGTGGCTTGGACTCAGTGTTTGGGGGTCGTCTGAAAAACTGTCTGCGGCCCTTGGACCCAAAACAACAATCTTACTTTCATCAGTCTACAAAATGTTTCTCCTTTTCTCTTTAAGTCAGTCGATATTATTTTTGGCAAACTGTGTCCTCTTCAACACTTTTTTTTTTAACAGCGGGACTTTGTGGGGGCTTGTTGCGGATAGATTAGCCTCACACAAGTGTTTTCTAATTGTCACAGTACTCACAGGTAACTTCAAACCATCTTTGATCTCCCTGGAGCTGACCATTGGCTGAGTATTTTCCATTCTGGCTATTGTTCAATCCATTCGAATGGTAGTCTTCCGTTTTCTTCCACGTCTCTCTGGTTTTGCTTTCCATTTCAAAGCATTGGAGATGATTTTAGCTGAGCAGTCTCTCATTTTCTGCACATCTTTATACATTTGCCCCTCTCCAATCAACATGTTAATTAAAGCACGCTGTTCTTCTAAACAGTGTCTGGAACGACCCATCTTCCTCAGGTTTGCAGAGAGAATTGCATATACAACATATGCTGGCTTCATCCATAAATAAGAGCCACCTGAATGACACCTGCTTCTCCACATAATGAATGACCTCACTGATTGAACTCCACACTGCTACTATTTTGAACACACCCCTTTCAATTAATTATTTAATTACACAGACTCAGGAGCATGCATATCATGAATGTTGGGTCTACTACACCTACTGGTAAATGATTTGCCATGTAACAATATAATTTCTACCAAAAACAGTGGCTGATCTGGTTAGTTATGTTGGACTACTATTATTTTGAACACAATTGTACATTGTACTTGATGCAATTTATCAATCAGTTCTGTGTGCTAGGTGGATATAGACAGAGAGAATGTACAGAAATTATCAGCAATGAGAAACATTGAATTGAAACATTAAAAATAAATGTGCAAACTATTACTACTGCATGTACATGTGGACGTGCATGTTAGGAAAGCATTTCACTTATTTGTGTGTACAAGCGGAGCAAAGACAAAGTCCGCTGCATTGATAATCAGTCATTAGAGAAGTTACTTTATTTGCATACTAATAGGCTTCAGGGTCTAGGTTGCCTTGATTTGGCTAATGGAGTCACGCTGAAGTCCAATTCTCTGTTAATATGGTGGCACCAGCCGGTAGATGCGCCTGTTTAAAGGGAATGGGTGGGTGGATGAAGCAACAGCATTGAATTGTTTTAGTAAATCAACACAAACATTTTCCGAAGGAAATAACTCTTATGTACAAATGTCATCTTCATAAGACTTTTCAGTTACGTAAAGACTTTTGAAAAATGGTTGTGCCCAAGTGTGGAATTATGGCAGGTACTTCTTGAATTGTGGAATATTCCCTGTTAAATGATCTCCACTCCACTAAGAATAGCTATAAAACCATTCAGTACACCACTAGGCAATGACATGGTTATTTATATAGCCCCCTTATCATAACAGCTACAGTTGGGGCAAATCTAAGTCCCAAAGGGAGCTGATTCCAGCAGTGAGCAGTATAATGGCTTAAAGTCATTTCACCGTGTTTGGTTTGAACTCTGGGCACCACCAGTCCCTGCAGATCTAAGAGGCCTACTAGGTTATACTTGGCAAACATATCTTTGCTAGACCTAGACCATTGAGAGACTTAAAGACAACAAGTATGACCTTGAATTCAATTCTATTTTTAACTGGAAGACAGAGGATGATCTAAGAAGTGGACTGATGTGTTCTCACTTTTTCCAGTCTTCTATCAGCAGCATTTTGAATGACTTGCAGATGTCTTGAGGCCAATCAGGAGAGCATTATAGTATTCTACCCCACATAAAGTAAAAGCATGGATGAGCTTTTCTAAAAGCTGTCTGGACATGGACATTTTTCATTTTGTCTATGTTTATGAGATGCCAAACTGAGGGTTTGGTTACAGTGAATGACAATTGTTAGGTGAAGCTCAAAAACAGTAGGTCTTAAGGGCAATCCACATTGACAGTGTTTTGTAAAGCACATCTTGAATTTTTGTTACACTGAACAAATACAGTGTACCTGTGTTTCAATTCACACCATCTTTGAGAGGTTCTTGTTGATAAATGGCACACTCATTTTTTATTTTTTTTTAGACGTCTTTATTTGTTTCACACCTTTTCAAGTGAAGGTACTCATTCAAATTACAAATATTAGACCATCAAGACAAGGCAAGGAAGGTTTATTTGTATATCAGATGAGGGACCACAAAAATAAAGATAATCTTTCTTCTTACATATTTCTCATACGCACATTTGAAAGGCATTTTATTATTATTTAAAAAAAAAACCTGAACTAAATATAAATATGCTCTGCAAATCACATAACTAATGTGTATAAATTTAGACCTCTCACCTGATCTCTCATTTGATTTTCAGTGTATGCACATTACTATTGACAATAATAATAACAACAATAATAATAAGTCATTAAGTCATGTAGATGATGTGGTAGTCTCACACAGCCAGACTTCTCTCCACAGTGTCATTCGAGCACTGGAGAATGGTTTAAATGCAACTCATTGTCATTCTACTGTTGCGTTTCTTTAAACCAATCACAGTCGTTTTGGCTCCTAAGCTCAGGATGTAGCAGTGTGCCTTTCCAGCACAGTGACAGGGGCATTATTTTGGTGGAACTTGTGCATGCAGGGAGGTAAGCATATTCATTAAAATGGCTAATTCACTGAAGGAAACAAACAGGACTGCCCTACTGCAACATCCAAATTCTCTTCAAAATGTGCCATTTTCAGCATGGAGGTTGCTAGCTTGGCGGTTGTTGTTGTTTCATGTAGCAAAGGGGATTTTGAAAGTGTGATCGCCCACATAGTGAAAGGAAAGGAAAAAGACACCTGAAATGTGTGACAGAAATGTCGGACTTATACCAAAAATATACATCCTAAAGTTTTAATTACAGATGGCTGTACCATAATCCTCAGTGCTTCAGTAGAAAAAGACTGAACTTGTCTTTTTGGTTTTTGAAGATGCTTCACCTCTCATCCAAGAGGCTTCCTCAGTTCTAACTAACTGGTGGGGAGTCCCATGTACTCACTCTCAGCCCCAAATCACATTGGCTCATTGGTCTTGGTACTGACCAAAGACTGACATTCCTCAAGGTATGAATAGTGGTAAAACTGCCTGGTGAGGGATGACTAAGGGTGTTAATGGAGGTGAAACTGTATGTGGAGGGATTTCAGGTCTGCCGTATAAGTACCTGATAGGTGGTGTTACACTCTCCTTTCTTTGGAGATGGCTTCCTTCAGTATTCCCTAAAACCATCTGTCTTCTCTGTCCAGACTGTGGACATTGCAATTGTCAAAGGAATGTCTGTTATCCTTCAGATGCCGGTGGACTACTGCGTTTCATCCACTTGCATCTAAAGGAAAAGTCTAGTTGTTTTCTAGTGAAGCATTTAGGATTACCATGACCTGGCCCACTGACAATCTACAAAGACAGATTGTACTTCAGTGTGTTAATAATCTGAACGCAAGCTCGATTATTCAAGGTTTGACCAATTACACCACAGTGGTAAAGAGCTGAGGACTGCATTGCACCATTTTCTTGTACCCTGATCCTCTTCGTAGCAACCCATCTGCCGTCACTTTGAGTGAATAAACAAGAGAATTATTTTTTTCTTTTAGAGCTTTGATTTAAGAAGAAATGGCGTACGTGTGGCAAAGACAAATTTGCTGCTTTGAAGTTCACAAGCTTATTAAGGATATGCCTAAAGCAGAATTTAGATGGCGCGCCCATCAAAGATAAACATGCACTCCTTGACCCTAACTGACCACACTGCATATCAGCTGCTACTTAACATCTTGGTAAACAGGTTCTGTGAGAAATTACATTTTATCAGGGAAAAAACACTTTCATTTCTCATCAAGGCCTGTGCTTTGTTGTCATTAATCATGGCTTTTGAAAGCATATTTAGTAATCACGTAGGTATTCTTGGAAAATGTCAATATTTGTTTGCAAAATAAGGACTACAGAGTGCGTTCAAGTCAAGGACATCAAATCAGGCCTGCAGTGACCAGAGGCCATTCATCATTTAATGAGACAACAATGTCTCTTTGCAGTGACAAATATGAGAAACATCTGACAGGTCTGAGATGGCTGCAGCGAGCTCTCAAAGCCCAAGGCCATTTCTGGCTATTCTTTTGCCCCAGAAGTTGAGTAAAGTTGAATAAAGCTGAATGACACTAAAAACCACAAGGTTATTTGGCTCTGAAAAGATCAAAGCCTTTATGAGTGCCTGTGGAAGTGCAGTCTAATGCAGCGACGTGGTCAGAAACAGCACAGCATGTAATTACACTGCTCATCAACTATGAGCAAACACTGCATCAACACATCACAGGCTTCATACCAAAGTCATCTATCAAGGGCACAGCTGATCAATAAATCATAGGGATTGGATAATTCATTGCCTGTTTGAATTTCATGCTGTTAGGGGTCAGGGTATTTTCACCACTGTCACTGACACTGTAAATCAATAACACAGAAGGATTAGATTGTCATTTGCTTGAAGTGAGTCTCATTTGGGATTATCAGGAAACAGAACATAGGATATGCCAAACACTACAGTGGGACTCGAGCCATGATGCCATGACCTCGCTACAGGCTCAGCAATGCCCGCTGCTACAAGGTGAAGGCAGGGAATTTTGTTGCAATTCATTCTGAGGCACAGAAAATGTTTTCACACATTAGTGAAAACCTATTTCCACTTTAACAGCATGTCTGCACAGTTAACAGGTCGATTAAGAAACCTGAAGTATGTAAATACACACTTTCCAGAGGAGTCTCACAGCAGAAACTGTGAACTTGTTTTGTTGTTAGTGTTAATCTGGCAGCCACCACAACAATACATACCAGT